CGATTCCTTTATAAATTGTGAGGCGGTCCCGCGCGAGAGCGCGATTGCTTTCCCTTCCCCCAACAAAAAGGTGCGATCCCCGGGAACATCATTTTATGTGAAAAAAAACAACGGCTGCCGGTAAGGGGGGATCAGCACTATTTCATGTTTTCATGTGGCATTCAACACGTATATCCCAAACCCTCGATAGCCGCCTTTTTCGGAGTCGATCGTACCACAGTTGGGGTCTATACCGTTCTTACCTGCAACCTTTATTTCGTGCAACCCCTGTGGCAGGGGAATAGAGGACGGATGGAAGGCAGGGAAAAAGGGGAGGGAGGAGGCTAGGAGCAGGAAGCGCGTGGCAGAATCAGGCGGGCCCTTCGGGCGGGCAGACCCTAACGGGCGTGTCGGGAAGGCAACCCCATGCGACCAGGTCGAGCAGGCGGGCTGCTGAAGCGTGCGTCCTGCATGCGTCGCGGGGAAATCTCGAGCGATAGCACGATTGCCACATAACTCGTGAGAGGTCCACAGGGAGAGTGTGATTCCTGAGTGTCGAGGGCGTGCCGTCGAATAAATTACGACGAGGTCCCACGCGAGAGCGCGACTCCTACAGACATTCAGAGGAAGTCCCGCGCCAGAGAGATTGATGAATACTTCCCAACAGTCCTGTGGTGTTGGGCCCTCGTTTTGAAGAGACAGCGCCCCGCGTCCCACCTCCTGCCCCTGTCCTCCCTCCTCCCGTCCCTGCCTCTGCCCACCACATGTTCTCGTCGTTGCCGTTATCTTCATCACCCAGCATTGCGTTTCCTGGCCCCAAAGGGGTCTCCACATAAGGTCCCAGTGGCGCCGTTTGCATGCGTCTCCCCCACCCAGTACAGCATCCCGTGCCCCCCGAGGAAGCCCTACCGAAGGTCCCATTGCGCAGTTCGTATGCATCTCCCCCACTCAGTAAAATATTCCCTGCCCCCAGAAGGGGGCTCCACCGAAGGTCCCAGTGGCGCAGTTCGCATGCGTCTCTCCCACCCAGTAGAGCGCTTCGTGGCCCCACAGGGAGCACCACCGAAGTTCCCAGTTGCGCAATTCTCATGCGTCCCCCCCCCAAACCCAGTGCAGCGCTTCGTGGCCCCAGAGGGAGCTCCACCGAATGTCCCAGTGGCGCAGTTCGCATGCGTCTCCCCCGCCCGGTACGTTGTTTCGTGGCCCCAGGGGGAGCTCCACTCAAGGTCCCAGTGGCGCAGTTCGCAAGCGTCCTCCCCGCCCAGAGCAGCATCTCTTGTGCCCAAAGGGAGCCTCACCGAGGGTCCCAATGGCGCATTTCGCATTCGTCTCCCCCACCCAGAAGAGCGCTTCGTGGCCCCAGAGGGAGAAGGTCCCACCTGCGCAGTTCGCATGCGCCCCCCCCACCCAGTACAGCGTTTCGCGGCCCCAGATGGAGCCCCCACCTAGGATTCCAGCGGCGCGGTTCGCATGCGTTTCCCCTGACCCAGGCCCCACCGAAGGTCACAGTGGCGCAGTTCGCATGCGTCTCCCCCCACCAAGTATAGCGCTTCGTGGCCCCAGAGGGAGCTCCACTCAAGGTCCCAGTGGCGCAGTTCGCAAGTGCCCTCCCCGCCCAGTATAGCGCTTCGTGGCCCCAAGGGGGAGCCTCACCGAAGGTCCCAGTGGTGCAGTTCGCATGCGTCTCCCCCACCCAGTACAGCGCTTCATGGCAGCATAGGGTCTCCACCGACGGTCACAGTGGCGCAGTTCGTATGCATCTCCCCCTCTCAGTACCATGTTCCCTGACCCCAGAGGGAGCTCCACCGACAGTCCCACTTGCGCAGTTCGCATGCGTCTCCCCCACCCAGTAGAGCGCTTCGTGGCCCCAGAGGGAGCTCCACAGAAGGCCCCTGTGGCACAGTTCGCATGCTTCTTCCGCCCAGCACAGCGCTTCGTAGCCCCATAGGGAGCTCCACCGAAGGTCCCAGTGGCGCATGTCGCGTGCGTCCCCCCACTCTGTACAGCGCTTCGTGGCCCCAAAGGGAGCGATTCCGAAGGTTCCAGTAGCGCAGTACGCATTCGTCCCCCCCGCCCAGTACAGCGTTTCGTGGCCCCACAGGGATCTCCACCGATGGTCCCAGTGGCGCAGTTCGCATGCGTCTCCTCCGCCCAGTACAGCGCTCCGTGGCCTCAAGGGGGGGCACCACCGAAGGTCCAAGTGGCGCAGTTCGCATGCGTTTCCCAACCAGTACAGCGTTTCGTGGCCCCCCAAGGGGGAGCCCCACCGAAAGTCCCAGTGGCGCAGTTCGCATGCGTCTCCCCCACCCACCCAGTACAACGCTTCGCGGCTTCAGGTGGAGCCTCACCTAAAGCCCCAGCGGCGCAGTTCGCATGCGTCTTGCCCACCCAGTATAGCGCTCCGTGGCCCCATAGGGAGATCCACCAACGGCCCCAGTTCGCATGTGCCTCCCCCACCCAGTACCGCGCTTCGTGGCGCCATGGGGAGCTCCACCGAAGGTCCCACTGGCGCAGTTCGCATGCGTCTTGCCCACCCGGTACAGGGCTTCGTGGCCCCATGGGGGATCATCCGAAGGCCACAGTGGCACAGTTCGCACGCGTTTCCCCCACCCAGTACAGCGCTTCGTGGGCCCATGGGGACAACCACCGAAGGTCCCATTGGCGCAGTTCGCATGCGTCTCCCCAACCCAGTAGAGCGCTTCGCGGCCCCAGAAGGAACTCAACCGAAGAGACCAGTGGCGCACTTCGCATGTGTTTCCCCCGCCCAGTAAATTGTTTCGTGGCCGCATAGGGAGCTCCGCCGAAGGTCCCAGTGGCGCAGTTCGCATGCGTCCCCCCCCCCAGTACAGCGCTTCGTGGCCCCATGGGGGCTCCACCGAAGGCCCAGTGGCAAAGTTCGCATGCGTCTCCCCCGCCCCGTACAGCGTTTCGTGGCCCATAGGGAGCTCCACGGAAGACGATACGCACAACTGCAGTAATCACAGTTGAATACCTGTACGACCACCCTGCGGGTGATAAGGAGGTTTGGGGGGGCCAGCAATGGGCAACAGTGGTGACTGTTGTTCCGACGATGCCTGTGGTGCGCAGTCTAGTGAGTAGTGCGATTGTGATCGTGAGCGTGATGTGATGTGGCGATGTTCGCGAAGCGCACTCGACATAGTCATGAAGCGCTGCCCCCGCGTGCGCTTATCATTCGCGCGAACCTCATCTCAGCGCTAGTCGACGTGGTCGAACGTGAGTGCTGCGGGATGCCGGTTTTGCTTGTGCAAACGGCTGCGGTCCGACAGCGACAACGGCGGCACAGCATACAGCACGTCATGACGATGTGCCTTTCGATTTGCATTTGGATTTGCATACCGTTGTGCATGTCGATTTGCTTTTCGATCTGCATCTCGATTTGCATGTCGACATCGATGTGCATGTCGATTTGAAGATTTTATACATACGCAACCCACGGCGCCTTACGATTTGGATTTGGATGCTCATGCCGATTTGCATTTCGATGTGCTTTTCGGTTTGCATGTAGACTTGCACTGGATGGCTCGCCGCAGCCACGGCGGGACACCAGCGGGACACTAGTGGGACACCGCGGGGCACCGTTTTCCCGGTGGAGAGACTTTTGGTCCAGCCGCGGCCCGGCCACAGGAGGATTTCGGGACACCAGCGGGACACCGGCGGGCCATTGGCCGCCGGAGGAGAATCCTTGGTCCGGCCGCGGCCCAGCCACAGGAGGATTTCGGGACACCAGCGGGACACCGGCGGGACACCGCGGGCCACCGGCCGCCGGAGGAATCATTTGGTCCGGCCGCGGCCCAGCCACAGGAGGATTTCCTTTCGCCCGTCCGCGCAGCTTCGCTTCGCCCGCACGCACGCACGCACGGCACGCACGACACGAACCCGAAACCGAAATCGATTTCCCGGTAGGGGGGGTCTCCGTTTCACGTCGGACTCATCCCCCAACCTCCGATGGTTGGTGCTTCGCCAGGCTAATGTTTGAGGAAGTGTCATGCGGGAGGCGCTGTTGTTGTAAACCAGGGGGCAGGGGCACAGCTTGGTCACCCCACACTGCCCTTTGTAGAAGAACAAGGTGCGAGCCCCAGAAGGAATTGTTTAATTGAAAAATAGAATGGTTACCAGATGGGGATCAGCAATCATTCTTCTTTCGAAAGTCAATAACACTAGCAGCAACAACACCACCAGCAACAACAACAGCAACAACCACAATCCGCATCGCTGAATCCCACATCAGTCACGCACCCAAGGACAGTGAATGACCGTTGGATCTATACATACATCAATCCAAGTCCCAGTCCTGGTTCCTCATTCCCATCGCCATCCTGACATTATTCCTCTTTGTCCGTTTTGCTCGATTCCCGTATTCACGCATGTTTTCAGCACATCGGTGATTCCATGAAGTTGCCAGTCTATTGCAGCGCGGTGCTAGCAACTCTGTGCAACCAACGCCCAGTCTTAGTCTAGCATCGAAGCGACCATTTGATTGCATAGCCAGGGTCGTGTTTCCTTGTCCCTGCGCTCGTCTCCATTTCCCCAAGTGTCTCCCTCACCCTCTCCTGTGTCTGTGGCGCCTGAGGTCTGCGTCTCGGAGGTTTCGTGCTGAGCCCATTGCGCTACGCGCGCGTGTTTTCTTCACCGCCGCTCCTGAGCCAGAGCAGAGCCACATCACTCTCCATTCCCAGTCCTGGTGTCACCCCCTCCTTCTCCTCGACAACAACCACGACCCCCATAATTGGCGCTTCCTGAACAGTCCCTGGCGTCCAGTTGCAGTCTTGCTTTGCTCGATTCCCTCCTCGGGCGCTCGATTCCCGAGGTGCTTCGCTTGCTGGAGTGCTTATCCTGTGGGTGGTTCTTCTGCCCTCCGCTCTCCCTTCCTGCCGACGGGCGGACGGTTAGACGGCGGCGGCGAGACGATCGCGTAAAGCGCCAGCGCCACAGCAATGCTTCTCTGCCCATTCGACCTGCCCTTGCGCGCCCCCCCTCGCTCGGCCGCGCGAGCCCCGCAGGGGAAAGCCCGGGCACCCGAAGAAGAAGAGGTAGCGCCAGTGGACTTCAAGCTGTGACCGCTCCCGTCGAAGAGCAGCGAACGGCAAAGTTGTGAGAAAAATCCTGGAGGCCTCGCGAGGCGCGTAATAGTAGTATTATCTAGTCCACACGTCAGCTCCGTGAGCTATGGGTCGATGTTTGCGCGGCGATGCTCTGGAGTCAGTCCGACGTAAATCAGATGTAATTCCGATGCAGTCCGACGTGAATTCGACGACAATCCGACGTGGATTCGACGTGAATCGGATCTCAAGTTGCTGCGCGAGGCCTCTAGGATTTTGCTCATAAGCATAGACAGAATGTCAGCTTGTGATTCCCCCGGGGCTGATGAATAGACCCCGCAGGGCGCGAAACATTTGTTTTAATCACGCGCGCCAGGGGGTCGTCGCGGGCGTCGCCGAGGGGACCGTGCACCCCCCTTGCATGACAGCCTCAAAACGGTTGCCTTTCGTATAGAAGTTGTTATCGGGGTCGTACACATCCGAGGCGAATTGTTCCCCTCTCAGGCGTCGTCGTCCTCGTCGGCGCCGCCGTCGTCGTCGTCGTCATCGTCGGATTCGTCATCGTCGTCTTTTTCGTCGTCCTCGTCGTTTTCGTCGTCGTCCGTCGTCGTCGTCGTCGTCGTCGACCACGACTCCGACTACGACTACGAGTACGACTACAGCGGGCCTGCGCAGCCCCCCCCATAGGGTATCCGCAGTGCGTCGTCGGCTGTCTGCCGTCTGCCGTCCCTCGTCCTCGTCCTGGTCCTCGTCCTCGTCTTTGTTTTCGTCTTCGTCGTCGTCGCCGTCGGCGTCGTCTTCGTCGTCGTCGTTGACGACTAGAGAGACCACGACAGAAAGGGGGGGGGGAGGAGGACTGCCCGCCGTGTTCGGGTCGGACGACAGGCTGGGGAAGAAGAGACAAGAGGGGGTGCGAAACCTGTTGCGCGCAGCTTGTTTCTGTCGCCCCGCCGAGGGGCCAGTCATCGATGCATGGTCGCTTTCGGCGCCAGGGGGCGGTAGGAAGATCAGCACTGTGAGCTGCTGGGCAAATCCCGGCTTGGCCACGCACCCCTTTCGTCCAGCCCGCATTGTTCGCGGGTCCGCGAGGCAGCTGGCACCCCCTTGGCTGCGGCCGGGGCAAAGGACGCGCATCGTTTCGACAAAAAAAAAAAAAAAAAAAAAAAACACGAAACGTGCGGGGGCAAGCGCCGACGGCAGTTCTCTTTATTTTCGAACAGGTGTCGCCTTGGCTCACGGTCCCTGCTTCTGCCGCCTTTGTCTCCTGCCCCCCTCCCCTCCCCCAGTCTGTGCTGCCTGTCGCCTTCTCCCTGGCGGCTGGGCGCCGACGCTAATCACCAGCGCCGCCGCCGTTGATTTTCAGTCTGACGGGCGCCACCCTGCGGTCTGCCCGAGCAGGGAAACTACTTTTTTAAAACGCGCGCCCCCCACGGAGTTGTCAATCACTGGCGGACATTGCACTTTCGGAAGTCCTCCCGGATTTCTCGCCTTTGCGGTGGACCCCCGTTCCTTGTCGGAGCTTGCCAGGGGCGCCGCCAGGGGGGTGGGACCCGGCGCCGATCCAAAAACTCCGCGCCGAGCTCCAGCAAATTATGCTGAGGCCGTTTTTTCCCCCCTATATCGGCTGAGCGCAAAGTCGTCGTTTTTTTTTTTATTGTTTTGCCGATCGGCGCGGGCCTCCCCCCCCTCCCCATGGAGTAGATGTTGGCTGTTTTGGAGGCTTGCTTTTGGAAGGTGGGGTCGTCCCCATAGGACGCACTACTGCAACACAGTCCCTGTCAGCAGCGGTCCCGAGCCAGACCCCCGTCCTTCCCCCCCTTTCGCCCAATTTCAAAACGCCCAAGAAGAGAACGCTCACATTCGCTCCCCTTATATCGGCTTGCTCCCATCGTAAGTACGTACCAAATCCCAACAAACAATTCGGGTACCCATGATAATATCGAAATAACATCGAACGAGCATCGCCACCCAGAGCCCGACACGTGAAGACCCTCCAGCTTCGGTGGTCCTTCGGTGCTCCCAAACTCCGATTGGTGGTTCAGGTCACAATACAGTCGGCCCGGATCTGTAGGACGACCCTGCCAAATCAAGGGTACCTTTGTGTCCTGTGTGTCTCCTCGTGCAGTCCCATGGCAATGTGACCCTCAGAAGGGTATTTTGTCCTCTCGCGTGTCCTGCCCACTGAAGTCCGACTGCAGATTGGCACATCAAGTGGCCGCGGCGGTCGGCGCGCGGCGCTCGAGGGGCGCAGGCGCGCGGCGGACGGGGGCTGGCGGGAAAATCCAGGCACGCGCGGGACCTTGGCATCGCTCGGACGTGTGCATCTTTCCTTCGGCGAGGGTCATCGAGGAGCATCCTTGATCATTTGGCGAACAAGCCACGCACGAAACCGAAAAAAACACAGGGAATGGACGCCCGAGCGATGGCCAGCACGCGCGGGACGCTGCTGCCCCCCGGCGCCCCCCGCGACGGGCAGGCCGCGGGCGCCACGGGAAGCGTTGTTGCCGAGGCGCGGTCCTTGCGTGCAGCCGCTGCCCTGGACGGAGTGCCCCGAAGGGGACTTTGATAGTCTGGGAACTCGGGCATGTTCCTCTGCAGGATGAATACAGTCGGGGCGCTGTAGAAGGAACCCTTCTCGTTGGGGAGGGGCTCGGAGTTTTTATGGAAAGCCGAAGCTTAACTTATGGATAAAAGGGGCTCCGTTCCTTATCTAGGGTTCTTTAGGTCAACGCCCCAACTGTATCCAAAAGTAGCCGAAAATATGAAGACGATTTTCTCTACGATTTGTCCATGCTTGAAACACTTCGTTAGGACATTTAAGACAATAGAAACAACATCTCCCCAAATCCTCCTGTAGGGAGGCATGCCCGACATAACTCTAGGCTTAGAAAGCCCAGGATCGCTAGGGACTTGGTTTCCCTCAAGAGCGACGAAGACCCTGCCAAGACCCTGCCCGAAGCTTCCGACAAACCCACCGGAAGCCTTCCCAGAGGTTTTTGGAAGGATTTCCGAGGAGTACGGCTGTTTTGAAAGGAATCCAGTCCCTGGCGAACCTCGGACTCGAAGTCTAGGCCTCCCAGCTGGGGTCCGAGCGCGTGGGGTCCGAGGATCACGCCGCATCGCCGATGCATCCGCGATGCGGCTCGATCTGGAACTGGGTTTTCTCCACGTCGACGTCGCGGGTGTATCGCCGACGTCAATGATGACCGTGGATGCATGGCCGATGCATCGGCGATGCATCGGGATATGGCGCGGTCTTCCGACCCCACCTGCTCGCACCCGACTCGGGAAGCCTCTAGAGTGGAGCGTGCGAGTTGTAGATGACCTGGGGGCCTTGGAATGCCTGGATCGAGTCCGCGGGGGCAAGCCTGGACATATGGAGC